AGCGGCCGACCAACAGTCGGGGGGTTATCAGCATTGGCCACTTTTGGACGACTCATCCCTCAGCCGTTGCTGGAGTCTGCGGGGAGGAAGCGGAAGAGGTCCACGATCTATCCAACGAATGACTCACTTGAAGCCCGGGAGCATGACCAGCGGGATGCCGTGCGACACACCGAGCTGTCGATAGGCAAAGGTAAGGCCGTCTACCTTTACGAATTGAGTCTTGGCCGTGTCGTAAGTGGTGAGAGCCATGTCTGCGGCTTGAACGAAGAGAAAGGCGTGAAAGTGGTAAGTTTGTAAGCCAAAGACAGACTGCGCGACAGAGATGGCTCGCAGCGACGCCTCGCAGGAAAGTCTGGACGAAGAGCAGTGATGTTTTGAATATCTTGAAAGTCCGCGTAGTTGAACTCGATGTTACCCCAGACTCATCTAGTGCTGTAGTGCACTTAGCGCCGACTATATATATCCACTGCCGTCTAAGCCGTTGTCCACCTTACGCCGAGGATGGCCAACATTCCAGCTGCCACCTCCACTCCCTCCCACTTGTAAGTAGAAGAAATGCAAGTCTAGAGTCATTACTGAGCTATTGCTGCCGGTAGTTTTATTTTTCTCCTTCTTTAGGCAGTTGCCTGTGCTCTTTCGGGTGCTCAAAGGGATCTTGAGCTGACGACCGAAGCAAGACTTGGCCCGAGGTTAAAAGAAAAGTACGGCTGTTCCGGGGTGGAACCAGAGCGCGGCTAATCAGCTCTGCTCATCTGCCTTTAGCTTCTTGGCGCTCATCATCTGTCCCAATATGGACGATTGTCTATATCGGTCTCTGATATAAGACGATGGATTTTATGAGTCGAAAAAGAAGGCCTGATACGGAAACTATAGGCATTTTCACCTAGTGTATCCAGAAACTCCATTAACCTGCCTGTTGTCAAGTAACAACTTGCAGGACTATCTTTTGCTTGAATCATACCGTATCTTAAATGATGGCATATGGCAAGTGAAGTACACTTCTGATATTTCAGGGGATGAAGAACTTGGATATCAGTATCTATTTGCATCGACCTTTATCTGCTGTACCTGCGTCAAGACTTTTCTCTCTTAGAACTCGTTGCCGTTGCTTCTTCAATCGCTCTCGACTCAAGTCCTAGACTCTCATCATCCGGCATGGAACATAACCTAGGTATCAAGACAGCCATGTCAGAATAAACGTATCAGATTCAAACGGCAGGCATCCTACTCACTCTCTCATACAAGTGCAAATAAAAGCAAGCCCAAGCGAAACCCCCAGGATAAACAGCCCAAGCCGCCGCTGTTCCAGGACGCGCTGACCACAGCGACGAAGCGCACGGCATAGGATCCGCGGCTGCTGCTGCTGCCTCCCACCATCCGGGACAGAGGAAGAAGCAACAGCAAGCTTCTCCTGGATGTACGAAGCTACCAGGTTGTCGTCATTGTCATTGTTATCGTCGTCGAGGACGGTGACGACGATTTGGTCCTTGCTGCTGGATGTGAACACGGGCACGGGCTCGGTGTGCGGGCTCGTTTCGAGGAGGCGGAGGGTTGTCGTGTCGAAAAAGGACTTGTTCGAATCGTTGTCACTGGTGGTTTTTGATACTCTGATGATATGATGTCGCTTGCTGGCTGCTTCTGGGATCTGTTGGGGTGGAGCAGGTTGAGAGGAGGTGGAGATTGTGGAAGGGGGCAGAGAAGGGTCCTTTGCTGTTGGGGCACTGAGTGCCAGATTCGTGATGTTGAGGATGGTTAAGAGAAGAGGGATCATTCTGACGGCCATGATGATTTGGTGTTAATGTCGATGTTTGTTGGAAAGACAGAAAGGGGGGCCGCTTGTGTTGGCTTGTCTTCTCAGTCAAGCCTTCTCTGGGAAGACGAGGGCAATGGACACTTGTAGGGGGGGAAGCACTCGGTGTGCCGTTGCCCGTCAAGCTGTAGAGTCTTTATGTACTTGCTTATAAACTCGGAGTTGAGGCCTCAAAAGGAAGATATAAAGAAATACATCAGACGAAAAGCTTGCCAAGCAAGGGGATAGAATCTAGGACAGGACAGCCAAAAGCGGAGAAGGCAGAGAGGACCGCCACAACAGCAGAATGTCTAAGCAATTTGGCTCTGAAGGATTGCCGCCTTGGATTTTTTATTTTCTCGTACACGCACAGGCCAAGATACCTGTACAATAAAATACGCATGCATGAACTCGAGAGGCGCGAGCAACCCGCTAATCATGGCGCAGCAAGACGGTCGAGCCATGCCTTCTTTGGGCGGCTACAGACGGTGGCAGCAGAAGACACCATGAGGAGCCTTGTGGCCTTGTTGCCGTATTCTTCAGATTGGTAGGACAATCTGTTTGAAGATTGACGGGAGATCTTTGATACTGCTAATGGCATGGTGAACGATTGATGATGGAGGGGGTCGAGAAGATGGGATCTTGAGACAAACGGCAACTAGCAGTTCTCCGGTATGTATGTACAACTACGTGTAAACTATAGAGATTAGTAGCAGGTTGATAGCCTAACGATCGGGCATAGTCATACTGTTGCCACAGATGTCTGCAGCATAAGACGTGCAAGCGCCTGACGGTCGAGCCATCACAAGCAAGGAGGAGCAGGCTTGAACAAAGGTTCCTTTCGTGATAGTGGGCCATCAGAGAGGCGTCCTTCTTCGGCAGATATCCGAACGGGTTAGGAGATCTCGGGATATCAAACGTGGCTTGCTTACGAGGCGGAGCTTTAGCCATCGTGATGTTTAAGGAGTTGGCCGAAGCATGGCTTAACACGGCCAACCCTTTTTTTT